TTCTGCGATGCTCAACGCATGCAACTAGCAAGGCCACAACAAATAATCCTGAAATACGATTCCTAACAGAAATGCGATCGTATTCTACTCAGTTAAAAATCTTGTTAGAAAACAAAGTTTTAATTTCAATGTTTAGTGTTATTATAACTTAAAATATTTTAACTACAAGACATAATATATAGGTATGTAAGCATGTAGATACTTGGATAGTGAAATAAATTTCAACTAACTTTTGTAATAAAGTACGTAGATATTACTTGTGTAGATAAATTATTACTTCTTTTTTACTATAGGTACCTATCTAACAAAAAAATTAAATAAATTAACTTTTCATAACTACCTTCTATAATCCTTCGGTATTTTTAAAGAATGATATATCTGAAACCTTTTTTGGGGGCATCCATGCACGCAACAATTATAAGTAACAGCGACGTTTTTCCATTACAAATTATCAAATAGGTAAAATAATATGAATAACACTAAACAAAGACTATTTCAACAAGTATTTACAAAAAAAACTATTTACGTAAACACCGTTAAAAAAACTCAAAACAAACATTCAATCGCGTACAACGCGCTAGCCCCGACTGCGTATGTTACCCCGGGTGCCTAGCGATTGTAGGTAATTATTTCACGAAGGTAACAATAGTGACAGAGGGCTGGTAACAGTTAGTTCAGTATCTTCTTTCTTCAAGATTAAAAACAACCTACATAAATACAGTCCACTAAGCTCTCATTCATTACACAATAGTTTCTTTAAGTTTATTAGTCAGATAGATATCACAATTTTTTAGTTTCTTCTTTCTTCACAAAAGTAAATTAGAATAAATAATTAGTCAAACACAGTCCACTTAGCTCTCCATTCACTACAATACTTATCAATGATAATCGTTAATGGCAGTGTTCCTTTTCAGGCTTACTTTACGTACTAATTTCTAATTTTATAGCTAGTTGTGGGTTAAATTTTTCCTCACACTTGTAACCCTAAATATAGTGACGTATTTTTTTGTCTCTTTCTGCGACACGCTATGGCGGTGTCTATAGGATTCAACCCTTCCCTAAAAACTAAAAAAACAAAATAAATAATTTATAAAAAAAAAAAAGTTAATTTTAAATTTTTTGTTTTTTTTTAAAAAAAACCGTCCCTTCCTCTGTCTACGTTATAGTCTATTGGTTTCTCTGTCTACGGTCATAGACGTATTTATAAGTTGGTCTATGTCATTGCTCATTGTCAATGTCAATGGGTTTTGGCGGGAACTTGGCCGTCGACGGTTTGCTGCTCCTGTTTTATTGCTTAACCACTTGTGCACGTATGTATATTGGACCTATTAGTCAGACCTATTGTCAAGCCAAATAGTATAGTAGGTTTGGCCAAAGACAATTTTTTTTAAATGAAGGTAAATATAACTTAGAGTCATTACCATGTTCTTATCCAAAAATAAAAATTATCAACAATTAAAATATTGAATTATTTGTATGAAGGTCACGTGAGCGTTAGAGAAACGACGATTGTAAGACTTTGTTTACAAATAAAATGTTTAATGAAACGGTATAGTAAAAATAGAATTTAACATTGCACGAAATTTCCGATTAAATTTTATTTTTTATGGGGTTTAGGATCACTTATTCAGCATAAAATCTCAAAATGCCAACAGATCCAGGTGGCGCTTCAAGCGCAATCTTGAAAAAAATGTTTTCAGCAGATATCTCGGAAACTTGCACTTTAACTATGCATAGACCATTATTGTAGAAAATAAAATTTTGCATCTTTTGTTTCCAGCAAACTTTTTTGTAAAACTTACCGTTTACGATTTATGGCCCATTTAATGAACAGGTGGCGCTTCAAGCGCCCTCTTGAAAAAACGTTTTCAACCGATATCTCGGAAACTATGCACTTTAAGGCAAAGTTATAAAAATCATTATTGTAGAAAATAAAATTTTGCATCTTTTGTTACTAGTAAATTTTTTGTAAAACTTACCCTTTACGATTTAGTGCCCATTTAATGACCAGGTTGCGCTACAAGCGCCATCTGTTTTAGCCGATGGTTTGAAGTGGATTTTGATTCGTAAAAGTGATGGTATTTTGTGAATTAAGTGTCTGAGCGTGTAAACTATTGGAGAAAACAACGAAACAACTGCTTCGATGTCGATATAAAGCTCAAGTTATTTTGATCGCTTAAACGCTTTATGACTATCGTTACTACTTAAGTGACTATCGTCATGCTAAAAAAGTTCTTTTGTGCAATATTAGTTTTAAGTAATAAATGACATGAATAAACATATACATGTATTAAAAATTCATGAAAGTTTTTAATATGAATACTTTAAAACAAAATAGAGTCCCTTATTTTTCCAAACCACCCAATGACTATCCACTAAGTTGAGCTGTCGTTAAAATCTCCCAAAAACTTCACAAGGTGGCGCATCCATAGATTTAGTACTAAATTTATGGGTGCATCAGCATATTGTGAAGAAAAAATCAATAAAATGAAGATCCCGTAAGAAATTATAGGGCTCCGAAGGGCTAGAACCCAGAGCCGTAAAGCCAGTTAAATAAAAAAAATCAATGTCAATTTGGCCATTGCTTGTTGCTTTTGTTTATTTTATTCCGGAAGCAGAGTTTATTATTCATAACATCAAAGCACCTAAAGATAAAATATAAAATCGAAAGGCTGCTGTGCTGCAGTGTTTCCAAAGTATTATAGTATCCATAACAAAGCTAAATCTGCTTATATAATGACTGCCGATAATAAATACAAATGTGTTAATTGTGGGGAACCATGTTCTGCATTGTACAGAACTTACGGACCATCGGTCCTAAAACTTACAAAATGTGTATGTATCACAAAAATGTACATTCTGGCCAACTCAAATATGTTTGTACCATAATCAATAAATTTTATTCATACAATATGTATATTCAAGTATGTACTTTAAATTTTACGATGAAACCTAAACGTCTTCAGCGATGATAAAATTTAATATCATGCAATCCCTACAATATTACACTTATACTAATTCGTTTTTATAGGTAGAAATTGGTTTAGGAAAGTTTTTTTTAAGTGGTGTACCTGAATTTAACTATTAGGTGCCCTAGGTTTTTAAAGCAAATGATTCCCTAGTTTTGCATTTTATTTTAGTTTATTGGGAGCAATGTGATCGCAGTAGCGAGATATTAATTTCTATTTTGATTCTATATTACATTGACTAGTATCATGCCATCGCCTGCTTAAGCTAGGCTATTGCCTAGTGTACCATATTATAAATTCACCATTGGGTATTATTATTATAAAAGTTTCCCTTTAATGTTATTTAAGTGAAAAATTGGTATATAATGTATATATATGGGTTAGTAGTTAAAAGGTTGTGTGTGAGTTGTCAGCAATATACTTCAGAAAAACAAGCTGTACAACATCTTAATCTTATCTGGTTTATCTTAATCTTATATGTTTAATAATCTCAGTAAAATTTGTTCTGCAGCTTTCATTCTACCACTTTACTCATTCACTGTGTGTTTATACTACTTATAGTTCAATGCTATTGTCTTACTCTTGTGCCTGAAAATCGGACAGTAAAAAGTTTAATGAACCTCCATTTAGTCAGCAGTACTTGTTTCATTATAAATCTGAACTTATTTCATGAGATGAGACTGAAGTACAATTGTATCAAGGTAAATTTTTACTTTATTTATCGATAAATATGTAGAAATTTGTGGATGGACTGATTGAAATCAAATGCCTTTGCTCTTTCTCTCTCTTACATGCATTACACCTTTAATCATATGAGGTACCTAATACCTACATAGATGAACTTCTAGGCAGAAAAAAAGGGGTTGGCTGTAGACATCCCGCATCTGATTTTAATAATGTTTTTAGTCTAAGAAGCTTGTTAGGGTTAAGCTTGAACCACTGTTTTTAGATGTTGGAAATGCATTTTGAATTAATTACGATTAAAATAAATTTCACAAAAAAATTGCTTTTATAGAATTGCAAATATGTCAATTTGGTCTAGTATTATGAAGTACATGTACAATACTTGATTGTTAAATATTGTTTTCAATTTAGGAGGTTTCTCAGGGTTAAGCTCAAACCTTTTACACTGCTCTCGGATTTTGAAAATGCCTTTTAAATTAATTACAATAAAAATAAATTTCACCAAAGTTTTTATGGACGGACAAGAAACAGACATTGTATATAATATGTACATACCAGCCAATAACCCTCATTTTAGGCGTAGCTGCAGTTAGATAAAAGGGTGAAAAAACCTACAACACAGTAGCAGGAGACTATTTAACAGACTAATATGAAATTACAACGCATCTTCTCATCAGGTATACCTCAAAACTTGGAAACTAAGTTGTACAACCAGTGCGTGTTGCCATTGATGACATATGGAACTGAGACGTGGTCCTTCAGTGCTGGCCGTTGCTCGGAGTTTCTCTGCGTGATAAACTTAGAAATGAGGATATCCGCAGTAGAACCAGAGTGACCGACATCGCCCAACAGATTAGTAAGCTGAAGTCGCAATGGGCCGGCCATATAGCTCGAAGAACCGACAACCGTTGTGGAAAAAAGGTTCTCGAGTGGCAGCCTCGTACCGGTAGACGAAGTGTAGGGCGACCCCCCACTAGATGGAGTGACGAACTTGTAAGACATGCAGGAAGTCAATGGATGCAGGTGGCTCAGGACCATGCTTTGTGGCATACCTTGGGTGAGGCCTATGTTCAGCAGTGGACATGTAAAGGGCTGTAATGATGATGATGATGATAATATGAGACAATATAATAGTGATCAGAAAAAAACGTTATTTTGACTAAAAGGAGAAAACAAGTTAGAAATTGGGCAGCAACATTTTCCTAATAACAATTAAAATAAAATGCAGTTTCAAACTCACATGCCAAGCATGACAACTATGGCAAATGTCTCCCATATGGGGCCATATATAGAGGAGGTTTATGTTCAGCTATGTTGTATGTATTTCAATAATATAAAAAAAGAGACATGGTATTAATTTCCAGGTTTGCCTGCAAGGGCATAGTCGACAAATACATAGAATATGATCCTGTGATAGTAATGATTGACCTTGTTCTAATGTCCAAAGAAGCTCAGAGGCATATCTTATACAACACTGATTTTAAGGTAACTTAAGGCAAAACAATATTACTAACTTACAACTTGAACTGATGTGAATGTGAGGGAGGCTGAGTCTGAACAGATGCACTCACACAAACACCCGCAGTTTGTGTGAGTGCATCTGTTTGAGTGTCGGTGACTGACTTAAAAATTTGTTTATTAAGGTATGCATCCATAATCTCGCATTGTATGCATCGGAGGTATTGTATCAAACAGATTATTTATGGTTTATTCACTTCATAACAATCGGACTGCCGACATGACAACCTTTTTCAATAAGATTTTTCAAAATAATATTTTTAGTTTCATAGCTAGTGCTTGAGCAGAAATTGTGTGTTCAGGATAAATTAAAAAGTGGTGAAGAAGAACTTGTTTGATGGCAAGAGAAGAGGATAATAAAATGAGATATCACATGACATTGATATGTGGTAGAGCCAAGCTGCAGCTATATTTTAGTTGTAGCATGAATGGGTCGGCTCGACCGGGGCCGGACCATACTCTCACAGAATAAAAAAAAAGTAAAGTTACAGCCTATAAACGTCCCACTGCTGGGCACAGGCCTCCCCTCATTTATGAGAGAGTTTTAGGGCAAGGAAGTGTCCGCTGCGCTGCCCCAATGCGTGTTGGCGAACTTCACATGTCTTCGAAATATTTTTTTTTACTTATTCCTCAGACATGCAGGATTCCTCACGATGTTTTCCTTCACCGCAGGGCACGTGGTAAATCAGCACTTAAAATTGCAATTAACTATTTCATTGGTGCTGGCCAACCCGGGTTACTTTCGTTCTGTTATATTTACAGCGAGCGTTAACCATCTGAGCTATCACGGCTTCTCACAGAATACCAGCATAAAACAGCAGCGTAATGCTGCCCTGTTTCGTATGGTGAGTGTAGAGAACCAGAGACCCATTTAACTGGGATCAAAGCATTCCATCTTAATCCTCAGGGGTGACAACGCATTTGCACTTTGATTCTTAATTGAAGATAAATGTGGATGTCTATGGTCCACAGCATCCACTTAAAATCAGGTGGACTGTATGCTTATTTGTCACCCAATGCTTTTAAAAAAAATTAAGAAGATAGCACAACATGGAGAATATCCTACGCTACTTCCTGATATGCTAAACATTCATTTTAAAATATTTATTTATTTGTCCATTCATAAATTCATTACAGTCTATAAAAGTCTACTCTGGACACAGTCCTCGCCCATATATTGCCTTCTATATTATCACTGAGATGCTGCTGACCATCTGCTGGTTGTTTCATGTCTTTCAGTGCTTGTTCACGTTAACTCGCGGGTACGATGGCGGGTGCGGCCTCGAAATATCAATCACATAGCATTATTACCAAGTGTTCACGTACAAAACGCAAATGCGGTGGAAGTAGGTGGCGACTGGCGCGTGCGACCGATCGCGGCAATATCAAACGTGTGAAGTTGTTTGTGTGTGTTCACGTTGAACTAGCGGTTTCAGATAAGATCAACCAGTTTAAACTTTGAATGACAGTCATCCTGGTATATCAAAAAAATCTTGAAGGATATTTTCTCGAAATACTGTTAACCTTTCTCTTTCTTTATTAATTACCTACATGGAAACAGAAACAGAAACTTTTATTCAATATAGATTGTAAACAATACTTATTGAAAGTAACTTTTTTCATTTACCACTGGTTCACTAAAAACACCTCTGTCCTGGGAAGAACCAGCAAGAAACCCAGCGGGACTATTTTTTTTTCAAATAATGGCTTACAATCATCATGTATGTTACAATTGACAACACAAAACAAATTAGAAATAGCTTGGCAGTGATCACCACACCAGAAATACTACTTTTTGTTATTTCTCACTTTAGGTAAGAATTTTCGATTAAAAATAAAATATCGTCGCCCTTGTTTGCTTGACCCTATGATAGCATTGCAAACATGTTCTAAATTCCCCAACTGCGCGAAATCTCAAGTTGATTGCGGATTGGTATTATGCGGGGAAAATACGTGGATTTTGAAAATCGATATACCGGCCCTTTTTCAAGAAATCTAAATAATTATCTTAACTTTTTGGTTAGGTTAGTTATGGATATCGAATGACTCCCTTTTTTAGCTATCTTCCTCGGACCACATTTAACTTTCGGATTTATTTTGGCAACTTTCGTGTATCATTTCTTTATATTTTTTAATTTTGAAGCAGAGAATAGCTTTCATATAAAAGCAGATACTGTGGTACTATTTAATAGCAATAAGGAAAGGAATTAAAAACACTCCATGGTGTAAAATGCTTGTTACAAAAATATGAAGAAAAAAAGTGTGAAAAAATGAAATAGTAACTTAAAAAATAAATCTTATAAAATTAGTATATGTTAGTTTCATTTCTTAAAATAAAATTAAGGGGATTTTTGTGGGGAATTTGATTTTTGTGCTAAATTGGGGAATATGACTTGGATGACAAGTCACACTCGCACAAACGCCAGGAGGCCAATGCGAACTCGAGCTCACCTAAACCTAAACCATCGCACCCACTGTCGTGAACAAGCACTTAGTTTCCATTTTTACAACACCCACAGGATCGTATGGAGTAACTGCATGTAGTATGCAGATTTTATTTATTGACTCATTACTGACGTAAAGTTCTTCCAGTATCTTCGTATGTCTTATATCTACTCTATACAGTACTCCGAAAGCGCAAGCGTCGCAAGTTTTTGTGGTAGGGAAAAGAATGCCGCGCTGCTCCGATACATGTTGGGGAACCTCACATTCACTCAAAATATTCTCCCAGTTCTGGAAGGTTTTCCCGCCGATGACTACTATTGAGCACAATAAGCAGTATATCTGTAATTGACAATGTCATTCGTACCAGCGAGAATCAAACTGGTTGCTTCATCGCCATCATTAGCCTGAAAAAGTTAACTGTTGGACATGGACCTCTCTTATCGTAGGGAGGAATCGCCTAGCTTGGCAGATGGAATGGCTCAGTACCAGATGTCTCACACTTTTAACGCTGCTTCATGATGCTAGTCTGGTCTAGTTACGTTTGGCATAAATGAGATGCACATATCTTCATCTACCGGTAGTTCTGAGATTTTTTACCTACCAAGGTTTACATGTGAATCCTATCAATTTCAACTTTCAGACATTTTGGAAATTGTTCATTATACTCGTGATGCTGGAGACGTATGCCGTATGGCGCAGTGATAGTTTATTTTCGATAGCCGTCAACACAATCTGCGATATTAAAAGTAATTATACAATCAATTCCACTAATATGTAAGTAATTGTTCTATGATTTAGGTTACACATAATATGGTGTAAAAAACTAGCCCTGACAACAGGCTTAGTAAGCCGTACTGTGTATTTAGGTTCATATTAAGATACCACACATACACAAAGTTCAAAGACTTTATTAAACTATGTTTGTATAAAAACGGTTATAATAATATTAAGTAATTTATGGATGATAATAACCCGGAACGCTACCAAGCTATTTCTAAATTGTTTTGTGTTGTTAATTGTAACGTACATGATTGTAAGCTATTATTTAAAAAAAATAGTCCCGCTGGGTTTCTTGCTGGTTCTTCCCAGGACAGAGGTGATGTTTTGCGAACCAGTGGTAAATGAAAAAGTGACTTTAAATAAGTATTGTTTACAATCTACAATGAATAAAAAAGTTTATGTTTTTGTTTCCACAGATGCCTGAGAAACCTATGACATGACTTTAATTTACCAAATATGTAGGTACACTATCCTAAAATAGAGTAGGATATCTTTATTTGATGGTAATTCTTTAATTTACATCTGGTTTGGTAAAAACCTCAAAAACCTCAACCTCAAGGAAGAATCAACAAGAAAACTAATAGGGAGCTTTTCTTTTTTTTTAAAAACTTTAATCATGTATTCAAATAGCTTGGTAACAATAGTCTCATTCTTTGTGATTTTATCATCCATATTAAATTCTTTATAATTATAATAGCCCTTTTTATATAATATTTTTTAATAAAGCTATCTAACTTGGCGGAAGATAAATTTTGTTCATATTTTCCGAGATTTTATTGTAAAAGCGACTACATTTTTTTACGGAATAAGGGTGAAAAACGAGCACAAAGTCCATCTGATGCTTAGTGGATGCTGTGGCTCATAGACATCTACACATTTATCCTTGATTAAGAATCGAAATGCAGATGCGTTGTCACCTCTGACGATTAAGATGGAATACCTTGTTTCCAATAAAAAGGGTCTCTACACTCACCAAACAGCAGACGAGAATACCAGCGTAAAACAGCAGCCTTAAGCTGCTATTTTACGCTGGTATTCTCCACCGTCAGTTACTGTTCGCAGGTTCTCTCTTGGCCGGATGAAGTTGGACACTAGTCAGGTAGTGATGTGCCACTTCATATTTGCTCCTAAGATTGTTTAGGAGAACAGTTTGTGTTATCTGTATCGAATATAGAAAATTATTATTATAATGATATATATTTTTGTATTTCAATAAAACAATAGTAAATAAAAAAAACAATAATAAAGAGTTACTATAAATAGTTTGTATATATGGTAAATACACAGATATATTAGTGTAGAATATAACTTAAAATGTTTTCAATAAAATCTTTAATGCACATCATCATAATCACTGTATTTAAAACAATATGTTGCATAATCGATAATGACTATAATCGATTATTTACCTAATTTTAATCAAGCGATATGCGTTTCTTCTATAATTCTAATATTCGCATATTTAGTTTTTATTACCACCCACCCTCCTTCTCTTGTCACCATTTTATTCATAAAAACTACTATATCTGCGCAGTCACTCGCTCTAACTTCATCTCGGCGAAGATAGAACGTGTGGGCCGTAATTATGTATTAATTTCCTTAAATTTTTGTTGTGGAGACTGGGTTTTAAATCATAGCCCTCTTTATGGCCCTTTCTTGTAAAAAAATATAGATTTTGGTTCAGTCGTGTTATAGTAAAATGTTGTGATAATATTTTACCCAATAGTAAAATACCATACGACTTATGCTATGTAAATATCTAGCTGTGCGAGGCTGATGAGACTTAATATTACATTAGTAATAGAATTGAATATAATAACACAAATACTTTTCAACATACAACGGCAAATTTAAAATGCGGTTTTTGTAGTATATTATCTATGGAAGTGAGGTAAGTGAAAAAGTAACTATCCATATATATTTTAGTAAAATGTTTTATTGATTATACACCTCAACATTCACCTTGTATGATTTCAGAAACCTTCCCATAAATTTGTCTGTGCCAGAGTCGTGGCGGAATAATTGCAGAGGTTGGGTTCAAGATAGTAAAGGCGATGACAGTGATTTATTTATCTGGGAAAAGGATTTTTATGTGCAATTTATATCTACATTTTCCGGTAATGTAAGTATCTACTCCTCACTGACCATGCAGTGTAAGAATATCCACTACCTCATGTCGTTCCGTCGACGTAAGAGACGACAGAGGGAAACAGACGAAGAGATGAGCAGCAGTTTTTTGACGTGACAACGTCAAATAAATCGATGAACGCCGGCTGCACGCACAAAAAAGGATGACTTAGTTGCCATTGTAACGTTACGATCGGAGCGAGAGCGCTGCACGAGCGAGCGAAATGCACGATCGGCTTGAGCGTAAAAGTAAATTTATCAATTAAATTATAGATTTCATTTCACTCCTTCTTTGTATCCATACAAAATAGTGATAATTCAATAAAAATTATTCAAAGTTATTCATAAAAGTAAGCAATAATGTTATCAATGTTTTGTTATGACGTTGCCACTCGCCACGTTAAACTATTGTCCGTAAACCGACTTTACAGGCAACCAATTTTTTTAATAACAACTAAAAACAAAAAAAAAACTGTGGTTTCCTTATCGCGTGCCATACGTGGCAACTATGGCAAATATCACCTCTGTGAAAGTAATCTGTAGCAGAGGCCTATGTTCACCCGTGGACTTTTGATAGGCTGTAACGGTATCTCGTCTTTAACATTTTGAATAGGCCGCTTCTTAAATCAATTATATGTTACATATACAGCAGTGAACTTGTGAAGTGTTGTAATGATGACGATGATGATAATATATTACATAGCGCTGGGCAAATATCACACAATATACCTTTTGCTTTTTGAATATGTCTATTTGCTCGTTAACACCAGGTTGAACAAAACATCTTTTTTTTAGACACGATTTTGACGCGAAAGAATTGATACTTTCGTAAATTGTATATTGTGTTCAAAAGAAATATGCGCATGCTTGATGAATTTTAAATTCTTAATTGAATTGATTTTTAAAATGCTTTATATTAATCGAGAGAAAAAATATATTTAATCGCCGGGAGAAAACTGACGTTAGCGGTCTCGTTTTTACACTAAGCGTTTAGACAATATTGAAGACACATTATTGAGTTAGATTCTTAATTGACTACATTTTTATTTAAGTCATTTATTTCCTGACTAGCTGTTCCCCGCGACTTCGTACACGTGAAATTGATTACGATTGAATTTCATGGGTTTGACCTTTTTGCGCAAGACCCCAATTCTTTTTCGAAAATAAAAGTAGCCTAAGTTACTCCTATAACATCAGCTGTTTTTCTGCCAGTGAAAGTCCTGACAAAATTGGTTCAGCCATTTCGGAGATTAGCCGGAACAAACAGAAAAACAGATACAAACTTTTTTAAATTGTTTTTTGTATTAAAAATATTTCATACAGCTGTGCCACGCTGTTTAGCCTGCGTATATTACGCTTCTGCGCCGTGCGACATGATGTAAACCCTCGCTCATTTAGTTCAACCATTTTAGAGTAGATGATGTGACCAGGATTAAGAAAGGAATGCTTCAGTGGTTTGGTTATGTGGAAATAATGAATGAGGAAAGAGTGACAAAGAAAATTTATGTTGCAGAAGTGAATGGCAGAGTCGGAAAGGGACATCCTAGGCGAAAATTTATCGACGAAATTGGCGATTTATTGAAAACCAAATGGGCCAAATTAGGAGTACCCTTAAGCGACGAGCATGTATGCGTAGGTGTATGGATGTGAAGGAGGCGAGAGAGGTGTGTCAGGATCGTGCCAAATGGAAGTCTGTAGTCTCTGCCTACCCCTCTGGGTGACAGGCGTGAGAGTTTATAGTATAATGGAGTACTTTTATCCATCGGCATATGTACGTTATAAAAAAAATTTAAATTTTATCCATTCTCCTCTCGGACGAGCTTCAACCCCCCGCGCCCCACAACGCGGTTTTTCCAGTTTTAAAGAGAATTGTACACGGTACATGAAAAGTGTGGAGGTACGAAACGATCCTTGATGAATTTTCTATCAACCTTTTATACATACGAAAGCGATATCATTTACAATTTTTGCGCATTCTGCCACAAAATATAAACATTTTTTTATCTTTAATTAACGTGGCTTAGTTTGTACCGGCGTTACTATTGTTCTTATTTTAAAATTAAAAAGTAGTTATTGTGACATAAATGTAAGAGTTAGATATATGATATCTCAGACTTTTTGTAGATATTGATGTCCTCTATAAAACTGTAGTACATCACTTTGCTTTATTGTCAATAGTTTCCGCAGCATACGTGATATAAGGATTTTTTTGGTATTTTTTCACACCGAGGGTTACATTAACGAAGTTTTCATACGGATCCCTACCAATTTTTTTATCGCATTGCATCACCTGATGGTAAGTGCCCGCCGTGGCCCTTAGATATCTACATTTTACTCGATCAAGAATCAAAATGCAGATGCGTTGTCACCCATGAGGACTTAAGTGGAATGCTTCGTTTTTAGAAAAAAGAGTCTCCGTTTCTCTGCACTCGTCATACGAAACACAGCAGCATTAAGTTACTATTTTACGCTGGTGTTCAACGTCTGGTAATGTGATCATCAGTCCACCTGCCAAGCGCGTTAAATAAAGTAAATCCTCTCTTCAACAATTATACTATAGACTGATGAACATGAATGGAATGTAAAAAAAAGATGGTAGAGCCATGCTGCAGCTATATTATGCCTCATAAGATTTTTGGGATTACGAAACAGAATGTCGTTTAAGGAGAAAATAAAAAATACTTTTTATGTGAAAATGTATTGTTAAACTAGTTTTTACCCGCGGCTTCGCTCGCGTGGGCTTTTGTTGAGGAACATCATTAATACTGCTCCATAACAAAATCAACAAAATTGGCTCACTTGTAGAGTCGCCTCGATGTCACGGTTGTTAGTCAAGTGATATCTTTTGAATTATTAGAGATTATTAGACGTAGATTTTTTTAGAATTGCATTAATATCATACGTCTAGCAACCCCTGTCACTTTTTATATCGGTCATGACTTCCGAGGAATCGAAATAATACTAGTTTTTACGGAATTTATCGCGTATATTTAACTTTTTAAATACCCGACGTTTCGAACGCTTTACAGCACTCATGGTCACGGGCGGGACTGAGATGTTCAACGTCCATATGTCATAGTTAACCGCGGTTACCATAGATTAAAATTTAACTTTTGTTCCGATCTATGCAGTATGAACTTATGGTACCTTAAGTCTTGCAGTTGTATGCTTGGGTTGGGATTTAATTTTATTTATTATCGGATCCCAAGCAGATGGTAGCACCCAGCCATCTTCTCTATTGAAATTAGGATGTTTTTTGATTTCAATAGCCTCGCGAATCATCCTTGGAAGAAATCGGTGTTCTTTAGCGAGGATTTGCGGTCTATCAAATCTGATGTAGTGACGGGGGTAATCCTGTACGTGTTCACAGACTGCAGACTTCCCGGAGCGTCGATTCCTCACATCAGCTATATGTTCTTTAACGCGGGTTTTTATTGATCTTTTAGTTTGTCCTATGTAGGAGAGACATTCATAATCAAGCTTGTACACAACTGCATCTTGCAGAGAGACATTACACTTGACTGATGGTAAAAACTGACCAATCTTCTTTAGCGACTTGAAGTATGTCTTGATGGAAGCACGCTTCAAGATGTAGCCAATCTTGTCAGTGACTCCCCTAACATATGGCAGTACAGCAGGTACACGCTCGACTGTGGCCGGCTTCACTCGTTCACTGTGACGTAGGCACGGGACTCGAAGCTTGTTGTCATACAAAACTTGCTTGACATGGTGGAGCTCGGCAGCCAGGTGTTTACTGTCACAGATCCCTTGTGCTCTCTGAAACAAAGATTTACCCACAGTAGCTAACTGTGAAGGATGGTGGTGAGAATCACCGTTTAAATATCTATCTGTATGGGTCTTTTTTATATACACAGCAAATTACCGTACGAAGAAATTATCTGTAGTGTCGAGGACTGTTTATTTAAAAACAATATGCGGAAAGAAGATTTGGAGGCGATACGTCAAGACATTTCGTCTATGTTACGTCGATGTTCAGTGCCTAAACCGCATCTTCCCAAAGACGAATTTATAGCGTTAAAGAACCTACGCAGTAAACCAGAACTTACGATTCTCCGCGCAGATAAGGGAAACGCCACGGTAGTCATGGATACGTCAGATTATAATTCTAAAATACAAGAACTTTTGTCGGATGTAAGTACTTATAAAAAGGTTAAAAATGACCCAACAAATAGCACACTAAAAACAACTAGTGACCTCATAAAGAAACACTCCGAAAAATTAAATCTGGACGTAAAATGGATAATACCTACGTGCGCCAAATCACCAAAATTGTATGGGTTACCAAAAATACACAAGCCCAATGCTCCATTACGTCCCATAGTGAGCCAAATCGATTCAACGACTTACAGATTGGCTCAACACTTAGCGAAAATACTCTCACCGCTCAGGGGACATACAAGAGCACACATAAAGGATTCCTACCATTTTGTCAGCGAGATTAAAGACCTACGTCTGGCAGACAATGAGACTATGGTCAGTTTTGATGTGCAGTCATTGTTTACATGCTTACCTGTTGAAAACTGCATCTCAATTGTAACTAGAAGGCTGGAAGAAAACAACATGCCCGTAGAATATGCAGTATTACTCAGACACTGTCATACATCTGGCTACCTATTGTAAAGGATAAGTTTTACAAGCAAGTAGATGGTGTGGCGATGGGCTCACCTGTATCTCCCATTGTCGCCGACATATTCATGGAAGACTTTGAGGAGAAAGCCCTGCTTAGTTCTCCCATAAATCCAAGATTCTACAAGCGGAACGTAGACAACACTTTCACAATTCTACCTTTAGATAAAGTAACTGCATTTTTAGACCATCTTAACTCTATAAATTCTAAAATTCAGTTCACAATGGAGTTAGAGGCAAACAATTCCTTAGCTTTTCTAGATATGTTAGTAATTCGGAATCCTGATAACACCTTGAGCCATACTGTGTATTGAAAAAAAGACCCATACAGATAGATATTTAAACGGTGATTCTCACCACCATCCTTCACAGTTAGCTACCGTGGGTAAATCTTTGTTTCAGAGAGCACGAGGGATCTGTGACAGTAAACACCTGGCTGCAGAGCTCCACCATGTCAAGCAAGTTTTGCATGACAACAAGCTTCGAGTCCCGCGCCTACGTCACAGTGAACGAGTGAAGCCGGCCACAGTCGAGCGTGTACCTGCTGTACTGCCATATGTTAGAGGAGTCACTGACAAGAATACACTTTCCATCAAAACATACTTCAAGCCGCTGAAGAAGATTGGACAGTTTTTACCATCGGTCAAGTGTAATGTCCCTCTGCAAGATGCAGGAGTGTACAAGCTTGATTGTGAATGTGGTCTCTCCTACATAGGACAAACTAAAAGATCAATAAAAACCCGCATTAAAGAACATATAGCTGATGTGAAGAATCGGCGCTCCGGGAAGTCTGCAGTCTGTGAACACGTACACGATCACCCCCGTCACTACATCAGATTTGATAGACCGCAAATCCTCGCTAAAGAACACCGATTTCTTCCAAGGATGATTCGCGAGGCTATTGAAATCAAAAAACATCCTAATTTCAATAGAGAAGATGGCTGGGTGCTACCATCTGCTTGGGATCCGATAATAAATAAAATTAAATCTCAACCCAAGCATACAACTGCAAGACTTCAAGATACCATAAGTTCATACTGTATAGATTGGAACAAAAGTTAAATTTTAATCTATGGTAACCGCGGTTAACTATGACATATGGACGTTGAACATCTCAGTCCCGCCCGTGACCATGAGTGCTGTAAAGCGTTCGAAACGTCGGGTATTTATAAAG